AAACACTATTTATTTATATTGAACAAAATGTTGAAGACAACCATTTCACTCATGCTTTCGTATATATTTTTAAGCAGCAGGAGGACTTCAGGGCAGAAACTGAACTCCTGGTGGCAAGAAATTAAACAGACTTTCAATAATCCAGTAGAATATTATTTCAAAGTCTCATATTTATAATTAAATTACACCAATACACGGTATTAATTATGTGGTATTATACAAAATAAAAGTCACTCTTAGAATCTGGGCAAATGTTTTCAGTGCTAGATCACCTTGTTTTAATATGAGTTGGTAATTCATAAATCAAAATACTGGGAGGAGAAGGCCAAATGTTGTTTTCTGAATTATTATTATTTTAGGAAACATATAGGAAATGCCCACATGCTGGGTCATATGTGTAAATGAATATTATTTCCTTTTTATTGGCTCTTTCTTTACCCTCTCTATTGTTCCTTTCACGATACTGAGCAAATCACTTAGCTCTTCAAACAATGGCCTCACACAATCTCATTCCACATGTACACGGAGGGAAGCATATGATTTAAATTGATCCCAATCAGACTAAAGAGAAAGATCTTTTCTCCCCATGGTTGGGGGAGAGGTTTTCTTTTTCTTGCAATAAACATAAAAAAAGAAGTGCAATGTGTCCATTGCTCCTGGCAGCTGTTTTGAAATTATGGGGGTAGCCAGTCTGTGGACAGAACCAAAACATGTTAGAAGCCAGAGTCAAGAGCATCATAATGACATGGAACTGGAGAATTTATGCCACTTTATTTGCAATATGCCCTCCTCTAGATATTTAGTTATGTGATACAGTACATCTCCTTCTTGTTTAAAATAATTAAAATTGGGGTTTTCTGTGTACTTGTTTGTTTTTTGTTACTTGCAGCCCAAAGTGACCTAACTGATGGAATATTTGCTAAATCCAGCCCCCCCTCCCCAAAATGTATTTTAAAAGGAAAAATGATAGGGGGGCCTGGCTGGCTTGATTGGTGGAATGTGCAACTCTTGGTCTTGGGGTTGTGAGTTTAGGCCCCATTTTGGACATAGAACTTACTTTAAAAAAAAAAATAAAGGAAAAATGATGGTATTGCCTGTGTAACACCTTGCTTTAAGGAAATTTAAGATGTTCTGTATATGTTCTTGTTTTATCCTGGACAGCATTGTGAAGAGACAGGGATGCAGAAACCTGTTGTTATTAGCTGCTTTCGGCATCTCCCAAAGGTGTCTTTTCCACTTCAGTTAAATATTAAGCAAAGTGCTTAGTGTTTTAAGCCGGATGATTTTCTTTGGCCAAATGAATATTTGTGGACCTCTAAAAAGTGTACTAACTTAATCCAGAACTTTTCCCCTCTTTATATGTTGTTTCTTCTGCTTTGCTTACATCTAATTTTTGTGTTGTAGACCTGGCTTGTTAATTATGATGACACCCTATAGGTGCCTTAGGTAGGGGGAGAAATTGCCCTTTCCCCCATTTCCATAGAATAGGGAGTTTCTGATCCCCTCCTCATGAGTGATTGTGGTTGGAGGGTAGACTTCCTGTTTTCTCTCCATTCCCTGTTACTTGTGACTCCTGAAAGAAGGAAGGGCTAATCTGATATTTTTGGAGATCTTATAACCATCACATAAACACATCTCTTTCCCAAGGGATAAAAAAAAGATCTTTGTGCTCCTTTCCTAGAAAATAATCTATATAGAAGAGGTAAGAACATACATCTCTTACAGAATCTCTTGCTGAAAGCTTTGAAAGTTTCCTTGCTTCTTTTGTTTTTAATGGATACTAGAGAAGGAGGACCCCTTAGCTCTATGTCATGAATATACAGTTACTTCCCAAAGGGACAGTAAATAGTAAGATCAGATTACTTTCTACCCTTTTCCTTCAGCAAAAGCTAGAACAAATGCTAAGTCAAGCCTATAGAGGTTAGCTGTGAGCCCTGAACAGACACAGACACAGTGCCCGCTCTATATCCATCTACTTCATGACCAAGAGTGCTGCTCAGCTCAGGCCCCAAGACTTATCAGATGTTCAAAGGAACCTTGCCTTCCATAGAGGTCTGGAAGCAGGCAACAACTGAATAGGAATAAATTGATATTTTAAAAAATCCTTTGGGCGTGCCTGCGTGGCTCAGTCGTTAAGCGTCTGCCTTCGGCTCAGGTCATGATCCCAGGGTCCTGGGATCGAGCCCTGCATCGGGCTCCCTGCTCCGCGGGAAGCCTGCTTCTCCCTCTCCCACTCCCCCTGCTTGTGTTCCCTCTCTCGCTGTGTATCTCTCTGTCAAATAAATAAATAAAATCTAAAAAAATAAAAAATAAAAAATCCTTTGATTATCTGTATACCAAATAGGAATAAAGTAACATTTAAAAAAAATCCTGTGGCTCATCTTTGGTGTCTTCACTCTCATTTTACTACATTGAAAGGGGTTTAAGTAAGCCTTAGCCAAGTGAGGGAAACAGCTCCAGCACTGGCTGGTTCTAAGGCATGGCTGGACTGGTCACAGTCTTACATTCACTGGGCTGTGTTTTCCTAGTGGGAGGGGTTACTATGCCACAAAGGCAGAACTAGTCAGACAGTTTATTTTTTCATTTTCTCATTCAGGTATGACAGGCTTCATTGCTTCCTGTCCCTAGGTGGTAGTCACCCATGGGCACAGCCCACAGCTGGCTTTGGAACCCTCACCATCCTCTCTCTTTTTGCCTCTGACTAAATTTGAAATATTTTCAGCAAATGTAGAAGTATGTTAAAAACTTTAGTTCCTATGACAGAAAAAATGAAGAACGTATTGTTACAAATCCAGGGTAAATTTATTTTGGTCAGTAAATGAATAGCTACAATGGCATTAATACCCACAATATCAAACTGCTTTTTTTGGAGGCAGAAATACAATTTAATGATGGTAACCAACATTCTTTGGGTGATCAGTACTGAATATTCAGTATTCTGCTATAATCTGTTACTTAAATTTTTCTGCATGCTTTAGGTTTATTTGGCTCTTATTTTTCTAAGATCTTGAGGAGGGAGCTTTGGTTATTGATTTGAGATATTTCCTCTTTCATAACATATGCATTTAGCTATAAACTTTTCTCTTAGCACTGATGTAGCTGTGTCTCACAACTTTTGACATTTTATATTTTCATATTCATTCAGTTCAATGTGTGTATGTTTTTAAAGTTCCCTCAAGACTTCCTCTTTGATCCATGGGTTATTGGAAGCATGTTGTTTAGTTTCCAAGTTATCTTTATGTTTTGACTTCTAGTTTGAATCCATTGTGGTTGGAGAACATAACTCTGTGTGATTTCAGTTCTTTTAAATTTGTTGAGGTTTGTTTATGGCTCAGGATATGGTTTATATGTTCCATGGGCATTTGAAAATAATGAAATGAATGTGTATTCTGTTGTTGGGTGGAATGTTCTATAAGTATTGATTAGATCCTGTTGATGGTATTGCTGAGTTCCTTTATATCCTAGCTAATTTTCTCTCTAGTTGTTCTGTCAATTGTTGAGAGAGGGGAGTTGAAATCTCTAACTATGACTGTGTATTTATCTATTTGTTCTTTGAGTTCTAGGAGTTTTTTCTTTACAGAAGCTCAGCTTTGTTACTAGGACATACACATTTAGAATTACTATGTGTTTTTGGTGATTGGCCATTTTATCAGTGTATAATGTCTCCCTCTGTCTCTGGTGATTTCCTTTTTCTCCAAATTCTCCTTTATCTGATATTAATATAATCACTCCTGCATTCTTTTGCTTAATGTTGGCATGATATATTTTTTCCATCATTTTACTTTCAATATGCCTATATCATTATATTTGAAGTGAGTTTCTTTTAGACGTAGTTGAGTGGATTTGTCCTATGTCAACTTTGCTAAGCTGGAATCATACTTCCTAGAATTCCCTTTCCTGTATAGTCTGAGCTAGGGTTGCCCGCAGGGGTGTGAGGGAAACAGAGAAGTCAAAGGTGACTCCAAGGTTTTTGGTCTAATCAGCTGGAAGAATCAAGATGTCATCAAATGAGGTGAGGAAGACTATGTGAGGGAGGTGGTATTTAGAGCTCAGTTTTGGAAAGGTTAAGTTTGTGGTACATGTTGAACATTTAAGTAGAGAAGTTGCATAGGCAGATGGATATGCTGGTGTGGACTTCAGTGGACAGGTCTAGGGAAAAATAAATTAGGGAATTATCAGTTCTGCATAGACATCTATTGATTGAGTAGACATTTCAAAAATAAGCAATAGGCAAAATTTGGAAACCTAAGAATGTCTTAAATTCCTTATCTAAAATGATTTGCTAAAATTGTTAAGTATTGTTTTAAAGACTTCAGTTCTATATTTCAGAGAACTGTGTTATAAGTCAGCATGATTTTTAGGGAATATGTTCTGCATTATCCTTGAACAATGTACATAAAATAGCTTCTTTGGTACTTTACTCATGTAAATCCTGCATAAAACTAATAGCAGCAAATGGCTGTTAACTCTCGTTATTCTGATCAAAGTTCCCACATTATACTTTCTGTATAATCTAAGTGGTTAGAGACTGCTACCTAAAACTACCTAAAACAAACTGCAATACCAGCTCGCCACTAATTAGCAGAGTGACGTTGGACAAACCCCGTCTCAGTTTCCAAGTATGTGTGATGGGAGTTGGTACAGCTCTTCATAGTTTACAAGATTGGGAATGGGGATTAATTAAAAAAAAAAAAAGTGAAATCGTTTTTAGGCGAGACCCTACATAAAACAAGAGCTATAATGCTGTTAAGGTCAACTGACTAATAGAGACTGACTAAACATATGGTGGAAAATATTTTAAAAAGTCTAATTTTGTCTTAAAGCTTTCGATGAGAAAGAAGCCGCAGAAGCACAATGCACATGCGCAAAAGGTTACCTCCGCGAAGGAGGCGAGGCTGGAAAAGAGAAGGGAGGCGGAGCCGCACTCCAGCTTTTCCTCCCAGCTCCGCCCCTCGGGCTGTGCATGACGTCACGTAAAGCTCGTACTTCCGCTTCCGGTCACTCACGTTTCTCTTTTTTCCTGTCTGGCTGGAAAGATGGCGTCCCGCAAGGAAGGCACCGGCTCTGCTGCCACTTCTTCCAGCTCCACCACCGGCCCGGCGGGGAAAGGCAAAGGCAAAGGCGGGTCTGGAGATTCGGCGGTGAAGCAAGTGCAGATAGATGGCTTGGTGAGTGGGGTTCCGTTTCTACAGGCCCACGTGGGGAGCTCAGTTCTTAGTCCAGTTCCGCCAGACGCGCTGCTTAGCGGTCTTCCCCTGGGCCTGGTGAGACTGGGATAAGGTTTTCCCCTAAAACCTTTCTCTTTCATCTTCACTTTTTGTTGGGAGGCGCAACAGCTTTCTCTGCCACCTCCTGGGGGAGTTGAGGGCTGAGGAAGGGAACAGAGGCTAGGGGTGTGTGTGACAGATTCTTGGGGTATTGTTTTGAGATGCCTGGATTTGGAGAAAGACTCTTTAGGAAGACAAATAGGTGAAGGAGGTGTAGTGAAGGACCTAGGAATCTAGGGCTTTTGGGAAGGTAAGGTAAACTTCATTGATTCTCTGTTGGGACCTGACATCTGTAACTTCCCAAGTGGAGATTTACTTTGTGGCCACTTCTGAACCTGTAGTTCAGCGTTTATCTGAAACTCTGCAGTGGGCATAAACATCTCTTATGTTGGCTTCTCCTTTCCCCATCTGTGAATGTTGGAGTGCATCAGGACTTGGGTTTAGGCATCCTTCTATCAGGTCTCTGCTTGACAGAGTGTATCGAGAGTAGGTAAAAGCACGCTCATGGAGCCAGACTGCTTGGGTTTGAGTCCTATCTCTAAAATTAGCTGAATGACATTGGTTAAGTTAATCTCTTTATAGTTATTTTCCTCATTTTAGTTGTTTTGAGGATTAAAATAGGCTGAAATGTGTCAATAACTAGAACAGTGTCAGACATAGTAAGTTACCATTTAATCTTAGTTGCTTCAGTGTTATTATTTGTGTTACAAAAAGTTACAGTAGTAGACCCTCCTTAAGTTCCTTTCATTGACTTTAAATATTATTTATATTCTGAAAACCTTTAGATTTATATTTCTTGCCAGACGTGGTTTTTGCATGCCACTCTTAAATATCCTACTGCCCGCCTGACATCGCTTTTTGGATATCTTATAGGCATCTCAAATTTAACTTGTCCAAAATAAGATTACTGTCATCTTCCCTTCCTTCCTCTCTCCCCATCCTTAGTCTTACCTTAGTCTCTCCCGTCTTAGTAAATGGAACTACCATCTAACCATTTGAACAAGTCAGAAAACCTAGGCATTAACCTACATTTGTTCTTTTTTCCCCCCTCAGCAAATCCTGTTGGTTCCATCTCCAAAATACATCAAATTCATCTGCTTCCCATCTATCTCTATGCCATCAATCATATCCACTTGCAATAAAATACAGACTTCTTACCACATTCTTCAGGGTCCTGCTACTCCTGTCTCTTTCTCCAAACTCACCTCCTACTTTATTCTAGGCTCCATTCACAGTGACATTTTAGTTGTTTTCTCTTCCTGAAATACTCAAGTATTTAGTGGCTTCTTTTGATTCTTTAGGTCCTTGGCTTAAATTCCCCCATTTCAAGAAAGGCCTTGCCTACCAGCCCTGTTGAATGTTGCTCCCTCCCCATCATCCTCCATCACACCACTCTGTTTCATAGCATTTTCCACTGCCTGTAACTGTCTTGTTTGTTTTCTTGTTTGACTCCCCCACCAGAACATAAGCTATTGGAGGACTTTGCTTTTTCACGTGTTATGTTCCAATAGAGACCTTTTAACTGATATAGATAGAATAAATGAATGAATAAAAGATTTCATTTTATTTTTTTTAAGATTTATTTATTTTAAGAGGGGGAGACACGAGCGGGGTAGGGGGGGAGGGTCAGAGGGAGAGGGAGAGAAGCAGACTCCCCACTGAGTGCAAGCCGGCCATGGGACTTGATCCCATGACCCTGAGATCATGACCTGAGCCGAAATCAAGAGTTGGACCCTTAATGACTGATCCACCCAGGTGCCCCTCATTTTTATACTACTCCTAGTACATGTCCTGATATCTTTTATAGAGTATTCTAATGGTATCTTGAATTGTTTTCTTAGCCCTGTTCAGTCCATCCTTCATAATTTAATTAAAACATTCACTTAATGTGAAAGTTTAGATCTTGTTAACTTCCTTCTTTAAATGTTTACAGTGATGTTGCAGTGAATTCAAGGCCTACCAAGATGTCCTTGCTTTTGTGTTCAGGTTAATTTCCTACTATTTCCAAGCCTCATAGGAAGTGTACGTTCCAGCAACACAAGACTATTTGGTTAGTCTCATGTTTAATCACATTTGTTCCTGGCATCTTGTTAGTGGTCAAGACCTGTTTTTCTTCTTGTATCGAACCTTTCCTTTCCTACCTTTGGTTCTGTTTCATCACATCTTCTTTATCTTTAGTATTACTTTCCCCTTAACATGTCAACATTGTCAGGACTTTCCCATATTACAATGTTCAGTTCTCTTTTTCACTTAGTTCCATTCTTAGTTTCCACTTTTTTCCTCTTGAAGTCAATGGTTAAAGAATTATCTATATTTGTAGTTTTCCATTCTTTCTTCAACTCACTGTTGTTAGAATCTCCATCACCAATAATTCCCTGATTTAGTTTTTAGAAAAATCATTGATAGCATTCGCAAAGAACTATAAAAAATATCAAAATATATCACACATGCAAAATAGTATCTATGATACATAATTTAAATAATCACAAAATAAACATCCAGCTACCTGCCATTCAACCTGAGAAATAGAACATTGTGAATATCTTTGAAGCCTCTTCCCCTATTTCATCCTTTCCTCCCATCCCTAATCCCCACCCTATAATCACTATTGTGAGCTTTGTTTCAGGGATTGGGTTTTCTTAAAGCTTCACCATACAGAATATTTCTAAACAATTTGTTCAGTTTTGCCTGTTTATATCAATAATATGAATGAAATGTGAATTAAATCATAGTACATGTTCTCCTACGTCTTGAGTCATATATGCATATCTCACATTGTTTTTGAGATTAGTCCATTCTAGACTGTGGCTATAATTCATTCCTTTTCATTACTATAGAGCACCTCATTGTATGAATATGACATAATTGTCCTCATCTGACCGTTAATGGACAATTAGATGGTTTGTTTTTCTTGTGTGAAATGGTATCTCTCAAGAATCTTTTAATTGTCCATTCCATTAGACTTGTCAATGAGATTTTTACTGTACCCTGCACAGAGTCAGTGCTCAGTGCATCCTCTTGGAATGGAGGAGTGGCTCTTCATTGCAGTCAAATGATCTCATTGTTCCTAGAAAAGATCAAACTAATCTTTCCTGTAGAACTTTTCATGTAAAACCTACATCGTTCCCCCAAACCAGTCGGAATCTTTCCATGGATCAGTGAGACAAGTGGAATTGGCCTCACCTGGTACCTTGTTAGAAACGCAGAAATAGGGCGCCTGGGTGGCTCAGTTGGTTAAGCGACTGCCTTCAGCTCAGGTCATGATCCTGGAGTCCCGGGATCGAGTCCCGCATCGGGCTCCCTGCTCGGCAGGGAGTCTGCTTCTCCCTCTGACCCTCCCCCCTCTCATGTGCTCTCTCTCATTCTCTCTCTCAAATAAATAAAATCTTTAAAAAAAAAAAAAAAGAAACGCAGAAATACAGTATCTCAGAATCTTAGGCCCCCCGTCTTGATCTACTGTATCAGGTGGTTTATAGCATATTAATATTTGAGAAGTATTGTTCTGGTCCACATTGATTTCTTCCTTTATCTGAACTTTTAATGATGACAGCTTGTATCGCTCATCTTGGCACATTATCATAGACTGTTCATTAATGGTTTACTGTTTTTCTTTTCTCACTGAGATGATAATTTGCTTATTTTTTTTTTTGAGATGATAATTTGAAGACAAAATTGTAAAAATTTTTAAGAGATTTTATTTATTTTAGAGAGAGAGAGAGAGTGTGCGAGTGAGCATGCGTGGGGGGAAGGGCCCAAGGGGGAGGACGAGGGACAGACTCTGTTCTGAGCTCTGAGACTGGAGCCAGACACAGGGCTTGATCTTGATCCTGAGATCACGACCTGAGCCAAAACCAAGAGTTCGATGCTTAACCAACTGTGCCATCCAGGTGCCCCAAATTGTAAAATACTTGTGTCTTTCATAGTTCCAGTGCTTAAAACTGATTACCATCGAAATTTATTCCTTTAAAATTTTGTTTTTCCCTTTATGTAAAAAGTTATTTTGTTTAGAATTGTTAGCTGCCTCATTCCTCCTTTATTGGATGTAAGGCAGAGTATGTTATTAATAAGTGAAAAAGTCAGAGTTCCATCTACTTTGTCATTTAGGTATCATTCAGATGTTTCCTCACAGGTACTTTCCAACGGCTCTTAAGTGGCCCCGTTAGTTCATTGACCCTTTTATCACCCAGTCAGGCCCTTGTTACTGTCGAAATTCTCTTATTTGTTGCTTGTCTTCTCTCACTAAAATATCAACTTCCCAAGAGCAGGATCAGTGTCAGGTTTGTTCACTGCAATATTAACAGTGACTGACACATAGAAAGCACGCAGATACTGTGAATGAATTAATACAGTTCTGGGTACAAGAAATTTTCTTGAAAATGAATCATGAGGAAACTGGGTCAGTAAATGCTTTGTAGAAATGGTGTGTTGGTGAGAAACATGAGTGAGGCTGGGAGACCAGTGAGCTTTGTAAACTCGCTCATATTTCTTCCTTTATTTAAAGCATCAGTGTCTTATCTGTAAGAAAAGTCACTAATGTTAATTGAGCACCTGCTATTTACAAGACCCTGTGAAGGAAAGTTTGGTTAGATTATGTCTGATTCTCACAACAGTTCTAAGGGTAGATGTTATCTGCCTTACATACCTGTGGCTCTTCAAAGCTGATGAGAAAATGGTGGAAGTGCTTTGTGAACTGAAAGGAATAATTCAAATTTGTAAAGGGCTTATACTAGGTCTAATGACATATATCACTGTGTATTGTGTGTGTGACACTACATGAAGTTAGTAGCTTGTTAGACTAGATAGTAGCTTGTTAAACTATGAAATGGAAACCCTAGTCTAAAATCCAAGTCTCAAGTAGAATACAATTTGGTCTTTAAATGTTTTTTTTTTTTTAAAGATTT